TGTGAGTAGGACGGTTCAGCAGTTAAGAGCTCGTATTGCTCTTCCAGAGGCCTAGAGTTCGACTCCCGGCACCTATGTTAGGCTGCCCACAACTGCTTGTAACTCCAGCTCCAGGGGATCCAACACTCTGTTCTGGCTTCCACAAGCACCTCTACTTAGGTGCACAGATACACACAAATACACGGATATACAAACACACAGACACAGCCACAAACATACACAAATAAATCAATAAGTCCCTTATGAGAACATAAATGTGTGTCCTTCTAATCGGCTAATCTCAAACTCATGCATAAGACCAGGTATGTTTTTTGGTCTACCTGGATGGGAAAAGGAGTGGTCTGCATGGCCGTGTCCTCTTCTGAATAGGCTAGAATTGTCCTCAAGGATCTTCTCAGGTGCTCTTCATTAAAGTCTGGTGCTTTGCCCACCAAAGATGCCAGAGACATGGTTACTTGCATCTTTACTCTCGCGAGGTTCTGCATCAGAAGGGATGACACAAACAAGAGACAGTTAGCAAATAATTGAAGGCAGCAGGGCCAGACACAAACAAAACAAAACCCCAATGTTTCTTTTATTCTAGTCTTAATCATTTCCTTTCCTCTCAATAAACTGTGAGCTACACTTTGTACAAGATTCACATTATTGTCTAACTAGGTTGAGTGGATGTTATGCTCACATAAATCTGTCAGGCTCCCTTTAAATTTCCATTGAGTCTGGACTGCCTCCATGCTGGACATCTTGTACAGTTGGTCACAGATATATCCTTTCATGCCAAGAGTCTCTTCTTGGAACTTGCAAAGAGGAATGTGCCCAGGAAAGTGAGCCAACACTTTTGAGTTGTTGGATTTAAAGTAGACGGGAATTTTCTGTGTTTCCTTTCTTTCCAGAACTATGGAAGAACATGGCTACTCAAGGGTTGATGGATCACGTCCTACAGGCTTTTAAACAATTAGCCCCAATATAGTCTGAGGGCCAGAGCCAGGGGTGTAGCTCAGTACTAAAGTGGTTAGTATGTTGGAGTCCCTGGTTCGATTCCCAGAAGCACTAAAACAACGCAGAAAAAAACAAGACAAAGCAAAATAAAACCTTAAGGAGACTGAATTCCTTTTGTGGGTCAAGTTTTTTTTTGTTTTTTTTTGTCTTTTTGAGACAGGGTCTCCCTGTAGCCCTAGCTGGCCCAGATTCGCTATGGAGACCAGGCTGGCCTCGAACTCACAGAGATCTGCCTGCCTCTGCTAGGGTTATAGGCGTGCGTCACCACACCCGGCAGGCCAATTTATCTTTTAATATAACAAAGATGCTCACTAATGTGACAAGAAGTAGAAATCCAAAATGTATGTACCTAACTACGCACAAACTAAATCAGAGGTTAGCTATTCTACCACAGAACAACTCCAAGACCTTCTAAGTTCACTTAAAATTGAGGTTTGGATGACAAGGACCACTTACAATTCTCCTCCTCCACAGTTTGCCCTGGCACCGGTCAGAACTGGAACCAACTCAGACTTTACAAGCAGGGCATACTCTCCTGAGTCCTTAACCTGACTGCTGTGTTTGTCCCATATACAATAATTTTTTTTAATCTAAATATTCCTTTGTGTCTTAGATTGCTGGAAAGCACTGCACTCTCCAAGGCTGCCAGTCACTTTCTGAGTGCCCACCTACAGATTCACAGGTTTCCTTCTCAAAGGGAAGACATAAAAGGCCACACTGAAAGCTTCCCTCTCTTCCAATGCTTTGCATTTATGTTCTCTCCTGACTCCGGACCCCCCAGCTGGTCTGAGCTCTTACACTGGTGGCTCCAAAACTGAAGCGCATGAGGAGGTAGAGGGTGGCACAGGCTTGGCTCCGCGTGACGTCTATGCTGCTGCTGCAGTGGTGCAGCACTCGCTGACACAGGTCCGCACACTGCTCCACCTCCTCCTCAAACAACAAGTCTCTGAACTAGAAGAGATACAAGGGACCATCAGGCATCACTGGCACTTTCATAAGCTCTCTGGATGTCTGCTGTAGCAGGAAATGTCTGCTCAATCAAACAGAAAGCCTGGAAGAATTAACACACTGCTCATATAGAAAATGAGCTGCATGAGTCAGAGGATGGATGTAAGCAATGACTTCCACTTAAGCTTTAATTATGAATCACACAACTGAGGTCGGGGCTATGCTGTTAACTTCATTGTTAGCCAAGCTGCAGTCACCGGTGAAGTCACAGCTTTGAAGGAATTATGAGTTTCATAAGTTCCTTGGAAGTTAATGGTGACTAAGAAAGAGAAAATTATTACAGCACTGGACAGAAATCCACTTTCTAAATTTAAAAGATTCTGTGTAGAAGGCAGTCAATAAGATTTCTCATAAAGGAGGAAAAAAAAAGCCTAAACAGACTACTAACCAAAGAGCATTCTCAGGCATCAGAAATTAATTTCTAAACCTCCTATCACAGGGCAGGAAGTTTTGTCAGGAGTCACGCACAGGATTTAATCTCACTCTGATAGGGTATTAAAGAAAAGGGGGGAAAGTGCAGTTTCGCAATTGATTTTTTCTATCACGTCACAGGTTTTTAGTGAGTGGTCATTTGGAATTTCTATAGTTAGGGCCACACTTCAAGTATGAAAGTCACTGTTTGGCTTCCCACAGTGACTCCCTGAGAACCAGTGCATCTACTTTCTTCCTAGGAAGAACGAAGACTCCTTCTCCGTGCCACTTAATACTCCCCATGGATTTTGGTTGGGTGCAGAGGTAAGGGAGCTATATGAAAATCCTGCTCTTAAGAGAAAGAAAACAAGTATGCCGTGTTTACCTTGGCAATGAGGGCTCGAAGTGTTGCAAAGCAGTGAGTCAGGTAGGTGGTGCTCTGATCACAGCTCAGAGAATTCACCAGGACTCGCAGGACACCTCCCAGCAGGCTGTCTTTACAGTCCAGGGCTGAACTTGCCTGGGGGATGGAAGAACACCATCACTGAATCCCTGTACTGTGCTGGTAAACAGAAGGCTGAAGGCAGAGAGGCTGCTGCTGGGGAGCTTGGTGATCTGGTTCTGCCATCTTCTCAGCTGAAGGTCGTAAGGCTTTGGAGAGCACCATTTATATCACCCATTAACAAGCACCAGAGCTTAAACTCTATTTCCCAGTGACTTTATTTCAAAACTAATTGATTTGTGATTTGTGCCTAATTTTGGAATCCTAAACAAAATTCTAAGGCACACCTCCTTCCAGCCTGGGCTAAACTTTTGGAATGTTCTTTCTTTGTATTATAAGGCATGGCTTTCCTTGAGTACTGCAAAACCAATTGCAGGCTTCCCAGTACAATAGTGCTGGCTAGGTGACAGCGATGTTTCTCAATAGCGGCCTATTTATCAGCTAAAGAAGGATTAACAAGGATAATAACAAATATGTTTCATGTTTCAGCTTTCTGAGGAAACTGCAAATCATTTTGAGGCCTGGCGTCAGGTATATAGCACTCAAAGTTCTGTTGTATAAAAATACCATGGATGAAATGCCAAGCATTTCAATGATCAATGCTAGAAAAATCTCAGAGATACCTGAGCCATCCTTAGATGCTCAGCAACCTTATAGAAAGCGGGTAAGATTTGTATAGAACCCACACAATCCTCCCATGAACTTAAATCATCCTAGATTACTTATGGTGCCAAACACAATGTAAACACTATGTTGCTATACTGTATTGTTGAGGGAATAATCATGGGAAACCTAAAAGTGTTGTATATGTTTAATACAGATGTATTTTTTCCTAAATATTTTCCATCAATGGTTGGTCAAATGTAAGGACCACTGGATATGGAGGGCTGACTGCAGTTTTCTACAGCAGGAATGGCAAATTCATGGGATAAATGACTATCTTTTAGCCATCTGAGTCCAAAACAAATATCATTTATCACACTTAGCTCTGTTTTTTGTTTTTTTACCTAGTGTAGTCATAAAGTTCCTGTGCCGGCCAGTGACCATTATCTAACCGGAATTGACTCATCAGGAGAAACCTAGTTGCCATTCTTCTTCCAGATGTTAAGAAAAAGGCCACCAGCCACTTTATAAACTTGGCATGTATTTGGGTTACTTTAACCTTGAAAGTCAGTTCATCAAACACCCAACTTTTTCCAAGGGAGTTGCAAGTCTGAGAAGCCAGAAGAATGTGGGGTGTCTCTAGAATTTGTATGTAAGGTGGCTGTTGTAAATAGTAAACCTTCCCCATTTCTGTTTTAAAAAGGCATTTTGGGCTGAGTGTGCAGGCACATGCCTTTAATCCCAGCACTTGGAAGGCACAGGCAGGGGGATCTGTGAGTTCGAGGCCAGCCCAGTCTACATAGTGAGTTCCATGCCAGCTAGGGCTACATAGTGAGACCCTGTCTCAAAAAGCCAGGGGGAAAAAAGCACTTTGGAATCATATTTACTTTTTCCTCAGTTTTGAATAAAGAATTCCCTTTTAGATTCCAGGAAACATGTTCATTAACAGATCAGAGGAGGTGTGTGTTTTCCTTACCTGGATAATGTTTTCCTGCATATCCAGGATGATTAAATTTGCTTCTGTAGCCAAATTGCCACTAATCAAGGCTTCTTGATCTAATTCTGCCTTTGTTCTAAGAAAAACACAAGAGGAGGTTAGACTAAAGCACAATCAGACTTGGCCAGGTTCCCATGACGCCAGCCTATGCACCAGGTCATGAAGAATTGTTCGGTACAGTCAACCATGAAATAACAATGAAGCAGCTGGCCTCAAGGTAGCCAAGGGCTGCAGGTGTTTCCTGAGGTTCATGTCTGTGGAAAGACTGTCTAGTGAAGTCTCCAGGTTATCCCCATCCCCACTACTTAATAATGATGCCAATCATAAAAATAACAAAATAGGTACAGAAGCAATTATTTGTTGCTACTAACAATTAGGTGAGTCTATCAGATGGTCACCTGAAGCCTCAGGGCCTCTGCAGTTCATGTGTGAGAACTAGCTCAGGATCAGAGTGAGGGGAAGCCCCTGTAACATGCTGGAGAGACTGGGGGTGACGTGAACTTGGCAAACAGTGATGTTGCTGGGAGAAAAGGCTGAGGCTTTGCAACCCGGACTAGGAGATTCAGGCTCTTCACTATCCGAAGTCTACCTGGGGTTGCTCAGTTATTGGGTGGGAAGCACAGCTTGCATTCCCGTGGGGAGGGCACTGAACATTCCCGCTAGATGTTACCGGACTGGTTATTTCCCAGTAGGAAGCAGGAAATTGCCAGGTTTCATTTAAAGGTACTGGTGCATTTTACGTACTAGTCTATCCATCCTCATATGCTAGTCTTTATCCTCACCAAGTGAAGCTGGAAAGAGAGAAAGTAGCCTCCCGTATCCATAACTTTGCGTTCAATCGTTCATTACCCATGGTTAGCTGCAGTCTGAAAATATTAAATGAGAAATTGCAAAACAAATTCTAGAAATAAACAACTCATCAGCTATAAGGTGTGCACACTTCTGAGTGGTGTGCTATAGTGTTCCATCCTGCCAGGTGAACCACTGCTTTGCCTCGTGTACCCATGCTGTATATACTACTCACATTTTTTTTTTTTTTTTACTTAGCAGCTGTCTTGTTTCTCAGATTGACTGACACAGTATCATGGTGATGTGGTTAGGAGTTGGTACTATCTACAGTTTTGGGTGCCTACTGCATGTAGTTCTTGGGATGTATCTCCTGTAGGTAAGAGAATGCCACTATAGTTTGTTTTACTCTCCAAAGTTAGTATTTTAAAGGAAAGAGAGATATAAAACGTTAACTTTCCCAAGATGCTCTAATGGCAAAGATGTTACCACAGAGGCTAGGGTATTATACTGTCCGCTCAAATCTTGGCCCAAGATTACAAGGTAGCTGTTCTCTATTTCCCTTACTCCAGTAACACAGCTGCTTACATTACACTGAGTGTTCAGAAAGGTATTTTTAACTGTTTTCACACTTAGGATAGACTCTCCAGTCCTAGTTGCTTGACACCTACAAGTGATAGTGTATGTGTAAAATAAGTGAACTCTAAAAGCTTTTTTCTATTAATTTACAGGTAGGTTTAAAGTTAAAGCCACACTATCCAACAGATATATAACAGGGAACACACATATTACTCAAAAAGGCAAAACGAAATGAAAGCCATTAATTTTTTTTTTTCTTTTTGAGACAGGGTCTCCCTGAAAGCCCCAAACTGGCCTGGAACTCACTATGTAGACCAGGCTGGCCTTGAACTCACAGAGATCTGTCTGCCTCTGCCTCCTGAGTGCTGGGATTAAATTAATTTTTAATACATTTTATTTAACCTAATATATCAATCAATATATCTAACCAATATATAGTGATCTGTAATCAATAGAAAGTTCCTACTGAAATAGAAAATCTTGCATGCCTATTTTATTTATTCTACATCCCAATTTCAAATAGCCATACTTCAAGCCTCATAGCCACATGTAGCTACTAGCTCCTGGAATGGCTAGTGCAGAGATAGTGTCCTAGCCTAATTTTGAAAATGCACATAAGAGGCAACTTACCATCTTGGTAATCTGTTAATTGTATTGTTCAGCAGTATTAAGCAATTCATGCAATACTGCCACCCTTCCTGTGTGGCTCAGCATTGTCTACACAATCAAATCACCTGGAGAGTTTTACTAAATACTAACCCCTGGGTCCTAATGCTGGAGTTTCTGAATTCACTGATCTGAGATTCCTTTGGGCATTTTCAAATGGGGCACTTTGATGCCAGGTGTTGCGGTGTATGTCTTTAATTCGAGCACTTGGGAGGCAGAGGCAGGCAGCTATCTATGAGTTTGAGGCTAGCCTGGTCTGCATAGCCAGTTCCAGGTCAGCCAGTGCTACATAGTGAGACCCTGTCTCAAAACAAATTAATAATTTAAAAAATAGGGTACTTTGAAAGCTCCCAGTTGAATGTGCCACCCAGGTTAAAAATTACTGATCTTAAAGAAACACAGCCAAAACAATGAAAGGAAATCTAAAAGAAAAGGGTAGAAGATGTCATTTAAAAATTGCAACAATGTTTCCAAATAGCTCTAAGTTACCCGGCTACAACTTTTCTAAGACACAGCTGCTGAAGGACTGCAGACATCATCATTCATTACAATAATAAGCAGCCCACCAGGGAGCTGGGGACTGAGAACTGGGGAGAACTGCCTGGTTTCAGTCATGACTGTGCTGATGCTGCCAGAGAAAGGGAAAAGTTTCCTAAAGCGTCAATTTACACAGCCCAGCCAAAGCATGCCTTGTTAGGCTCATGTTTTAATCTTTAGAGTAGATGTCCTAACCATCTAAGCAGTTCTGCACCCACTGCACACATTTTTGCTGCTGTTGTACACAGTCTGAGCTGGTTACCTCATACAGTTAATGAAAGCAACTGGCAAGGAGCAGAGAAATAGAGAAAGTAGGAACACATGCCCACCATGACATTTCAAACCCGAATTTCCATTTTGAAAATGGGTGCAAAGGTGTACTGACACACAGAACCAAAGATCTTATATATTAGTTAGGGAAATTAGACCAAGACGTAAATGCTCAAAGCAAACTGGCATTATGAATAAGACCAAAACTTACTTTCCTAAGTGAGGTTTTATAATAAGTTTGGCTCCCAAAAGTTGCATAAATAAAAAGTATCATTCTTGTAGAAACAGTAAAGACATTAACACTGTTTATAAAACAATATGCTATTCAGTCTTCCCTACTCTTCCTCTGATGGGCACTTTCTGCTCCATGAAGCTATACTACTTACGTTTTACCATATGTGTGGGTTCTTTAACAGTTCAATGTCTTGCACAGTGAACCCTGGGACTCCTCAGGTTACCTGCTGCTAAGAGGCAAGGAAGACCCTATCTATCCAAATACATTTAGTTTTAGTCCTCGTATGTCTAAACTCTTACAAATACAGTTCTCTCTCCCTCCCTCCGTGTGTGTGTGTGTGTGTGTGTGTGCCTGCACTCACACACGCACGCATACATATACATGGCATATGTTATAATCCAAGCAGGGATGTTCTTTAATTTCTTTGTACTGTTTTTCTGATTGTAATAGATACCAAAACACAAATCCAGTGTAGGAAGCACAACAAAGTGTAAAAGAAAGAGTATCGATCGCCTACATTTTCACCACCCAAAGAAAACCACTACTAATATTTTAGTCAATTTCCTTCTAGGCTTTTATAAAGCAGCTTCTATGTGTAATTAGAGATTTGAGACTATACACTGAAACCAAGGGTCAGCTCTACTTTTGTTCACTTACCGATTCACAAATGTTTCTCCATGTCATTTAAATGATTTCACAACATTTTAACAACCTCATATTTTGTTATATATTTCCCTATTCTTGAGCATTTATGATGTTTCTAATTTTTTAACAACAAAATATAAGGGTGACATATTCCATATAGCCCTGAATATCTCTGTCATCTTCGCCCGCCATTTTCGTAATGAAAATACAAATTTGGAATTGTGTGGCTGGGCACCCGGTTCTGTCTCCTCTGCTCCTTCCCAGTCACTTTCATTAGCTGCCTGAGGCCGCTAAACACCAGGACTCTTTCTTTAGGTGCTTATCAATGATTTCATATAAGAACTCCTCACAGGTCTGAACACCATGGGTCACTAGAGCCCTATTTACCGACACTGATGTTTCCTTTTCTTATCCTTGGAAGGATGCAGCTGTCCCAGTAACACAAGTAGCCTGGGAAAGACAGTTGAAGGCTGTAAAGGAAAGCAGCAGAGAGCTGCTGAGTGACTCACTTATCTAGCTTCTCATTAGCTTGCCGCCAATGTGTCTGCTCTTTCCTCCATCTCAAATTTTCATTTAGGCCTGGAAATCGGTCATTCCCTAGGAGTTAAGAAACGCATGACAGGATTTCGATTAGCATGAAATTTGGCAAGATAACCAAAAGTTCAGTCCCAAGCTTAACTGGGAAGACTCAACACATCTCCTGTTAATTAGAGCCTGTGGCTGCTGCAGAGACAAGGCTGCCATGCCTGTGTGTGTGGTAGGCGGCTCCCTGATGGACTGACTGGAGGCAGCTCTGGAAGGCATCTTGCCTTTCCAGGGCATCAGGGTCATATTTCCCATGAGCAGGGGCTGTATGAGGCTCTCCTGGAACTGCTCAGAAGGAGGGCACGGCATTGTGTGAAGGTACCGACCACTACTGAAAAAGCTGAGCTCCCTCCCAGGTGCCACCATGTCCCTGCTTTCCTAGCAGCACACAGAGCAAGACTGAGGGTTCCTGGCATTTCAGGGTTTTAGTGATGAACACAGTCACGTGGGATGCATACGGGCCTTAGGAGGACAGAACACGAACACTGAAGCTGTTTGGCGGGAGGAAACAACTTCTATTATTTTTTTTTATCGTTTTTTGGTCTTTTCGAGACAGGGTCTCCCTGTAGCCCCAGCTGGTCTAGAACTCAGAATGTAATGTAGACCAGGCTGGCCTTGAACTCACAGAGATCCACCTGCCTCTGCCTCCCAAGTGCTAGGATTAAAGGTGTGTGCCACCCTGCCTGGCTACAACTTCTAAATAGCACCTTGAATGATGACTTTGAGTCCAGAACTGTCCAGTTTGTTGACCATGTCCCCTCCAGAAACCTCAGCCTTGAGGGATACACTGCCCACCTCATCCACCATTGATTTCTTGAATGTGACCTTTACTCATTTTTTGTTTTTTTTAAAATTAAAACGTGGTATTTGGGGACATTTTCAGGATAATTAGATCTTACAATAGTGACTCTTGCCCTCAAAGGTAGAGAGCAAACATTCTAAAAGTCCTGCATGGGATCCCAGAACCTCCTGCTGTCCCAAAGGAGTGATGCCCTAGGACTTTCTTTCCCACAAAGGGAACTGTCCTGTCTGGGGGTCGGGGGGTAAGGGGGTGTGCTACCCACATACCTGGAGTACGACGGCGCATCATCTCCCCTCGGGCCCCTTCTCCACGGAGCAGGGCCTCTTCCAGTCTGGCTTTGACATCCCTCGACTTCTGCAGCACTTGGTTACTGACTTTGTCAGAACTCTGCTTTCCCTGGAAGGACAGAAGCAGGAAGACATTTGGTTCGGTTAGATCTCTGTTGGTGGAGAGATTCATCAAAAGAGGACACTGCAGGTCATGTCGGCCACTTTTGACTTGTACTGTACAGACATTTTTCTGGGGACTCCTATGCTGAAGCTTTGTTAATAGGAATGTGTGCACTGCAGAAGGCAGATATCCTTTCCCTGTGGAATGATCATGTATGCAAATAGGCTGTAGATTTAAATATAGAAGTGTGAAGAATTAATAATGCTGCTATTTGCCCAAAGGAAAAAGTGACAAGACAGGATTGAACTTGGGAGATAAGGGTTGTTTACAATTGAGACACCCCATACTTACCTTGTACTCGAAACAGGAGACACAGATGAAAAGCAGGTCTAGAATCCTGTTCAGTTGCATGGAAGGTAGGTCAGCAATCCACTTCCTAATGAGGCTCTGATCGGCATTTTTCATGATCCAGAGGAAGCAGATCATGAGGTTGCGGGTGGTATCTGCGTTCAGCATGTTGTACTGCTTATAGGGCTGGAAGGAGGCAAATTGAGGTGGGGGGGCATGGTCAGGCAAGAAAGTCAAGAAACAGAAACACTGAAAACTTAAAGGATAAGAATCTCTTAGAACATAGTAGCTACTGCTTCCTCGGCTGGGCATTCACTTTCAGTAGTCCTGTCTTCCC